CGCACTCCACGCCTTCGCACGAATCTGTGGACACAAGGACGCACGCGTGGGCTGCGGCGCGCGGCGGAGGCCCGAGGTCCTCGAAGCCCTCGCGCCCCCACCTCCTGTTATGAGGGATCGAGGCCGGGCCGGAGACGGGGGCGGTCCGGAGTCCAGGCGCATGGGGCAGGGGACTGGTTTGTGGTATAGGGTCAGGATCCGTTAGGGGTGAGATTCAGCCATAGCCCGAGTGGACCAGGGCTCGCTACTGCTTCTGGGGCGGGGGCCTCTGTCGAGGGGTGGGGCTCAGTGTGGGCGGGGAGAGGGTCTCCGCCCGATATCTGGAGGTCCAGAAAAAGGCTTCCACCCCCGGTCCGGTTCTCGCTCCGCAGCTGGGCCACCCGCTCGGGCTGACGTCTGTTTCCTGATTTACGCGCGTTTCTGGGAAGGCCGGTGGGGGGCCAGCTGCGTCAGCCCGGGGGGCTCCACCCCGTCCAGGCGCGGGTCTGGGGAGGACGGGCAGCGTCTGTTCCCGGTGCCTGCCAGGACCTCCCCGGAGGAGGCGTCGGGGAGGGCGCGCGGTTGAGGCTCATTTCCTGGAGAGGGGGCCTTCCACAGCCCGAGCCCTCCGAACCAGGGATTACCACCCCCCGCAGTCCCATTTCTCAGGTAGGGAAACAGGTCTGGCTAGGGTTAAGTCTTTCTCCCCGGGGTCCCCGCCCCCACTCAAGCCCCACTAATGGCTGCTTCTCGCCTCTCAGGTTCAGTTCAGCCTCCCTACTGCCCCCACAAGGTGGTGCCGTTTTGTTGTCATTTTGCAGACGGGGGAAACTGAGGCCTCGTCACAGCTAAGTAGAGGAGAGCAAGCCAGGGCACCTCAGCGTGAGAACTCCAGTCCAGACCCTGTGCACCCCCAGTTCTGTGGCTGGTGGATCTGGAGGGCCTACCCTGAGCTCGAGTTCACATTTCAGCCTCAGTTTCTGGGTGTGTAAAGTGGGGCTGATGGGGGAAACCCACCTTACAGGGCGAGCATAAGATGACAGATGCTCCTAAGAGACTAGCCCACGCCCCTCATGTCCCTCTGCCAGGGCATGTGGGCCGCACCTGGGCGCCTCCCATGCTGCCCGCCCACACGCACATCTGGAAACGTTCCCCCGGGCGGCTTCACGCAAGCGGGAACGGAAGTGGCAGGGCTAAGTTCCTGTCCCCAAGGCCAGATGAGGTGGGGGGGAGGGTGTCCTGGGCCATCTTATGCCCAGTCCAGGCATTTTCTGAAGTCTGTCCTCCCAGAAGCCATAAGGGCTTCTGGAGGGAGCCAAGGCACATGGCAGTTGAGTTCAGGACCACCCAGCCAGGCTGATCTGGGATTAATCACAAAGCTCTCAGCTCTAGCCTCCTTCCTGTTCCCCTTTCCTGACCCCACCCACCAGGGTCCAGTCCCAGGCCATGATCTCTGCTGATGCTCTCCCCCATACTGTCCCCAGCTGGCAAACTCCTAATTGTACCCCAACACCCCAGCTCTAAAGCCCACCTCCTTCAAGTCATTCCCACATGTGCCCAGTGGGTCCTTGCAGGTTCAGCCTTGCACAGGAGGCTAGGAGGGTTCCCATTCCTTCTCCGGAGCAGAGAATATGTCTTGACTTAGTCATTTATTCATTCTGCCTTCAGAGAGCTCCTAGTCTGATGGAGGAGGCAGCATTTCACAGAAGGCACATGCTTGCTAAACTGCAGCTGCGGCCCTACCTGCGGACCCCAGAATCTGAGGTGTGAAGGGCAGTAAGTGTTTGGGAACACTACACGTGGGGTCACAAACCCAAACGGCCAGTTGGGGGAAAATCCACCTTCCTCAGAGTTAGGGGTGAGTGTACTTCCCCCAGATGGAGTGCAGGTGGGAAAGGCCACCCAAGCAGAGAGCTTCTTGTGAGCAAGGGCCTAGAGGCAGGAAACCAGACTGGGGAGTCCTCAGAGCTTCCTGAATCCTCAGCTGAGGGAGTCTGAGGCCTGGAAACCTGAAGGCCCCCACCCCTCTCTGAGCCTGTGATCCCCTCCATGGTTCTCTGGCCGGCAGTCTCTAGCTCCTCATCCCCCCAAGACGGAGAGCTCACTCTCAGCAGTCCCGCCTTTGGCCGCAGTGACTCTGGCCTGTGGCTGACACCCAGGGTCTCACCTTTGCAGGGGAGGCAGTGGACGAGCCCCAGGAAGCCCAGGAGGCTGATCTTGTTCTCCGGGTGGGTGAAGTTGGACCAGGCAGTGTCAATGTTGCCAGAGGCACAGCACTCAGCTCGGCTCACGTCGGTTTTCAGCACCAGGCTGCAGGTGGCCTCTCGGCCCTGCTGGAGCCAGCAGACACCACCTGTGGACATGGAAGGCAGTTCCTACCTGGCCAGGGGGGCCCTCCTGTGCCCCTCCCCACACCCCGGCCTTGCCCTCCCTCAGGCTCCTGGGTTGCAGGGGTGCACACAGTCGGTGCTCAGTCATCACAGAGTGGATGATCTACCCCTAACCTGGGAAGGAGGGGCAGAGAATGCACAGGTGTCCCCACCTGGGTCCAGATTCTTTAGGGATCCTTCCTCCTCTCTGCACTCCGGACCCTACACTGCTCCACCACCAACCCCCACCCATCCCGGGAAGCTCTCCCCCCTGGCTCCAGGCCCCCACCCCGGGCCTGGCATCATGCCCAACTAGTCAAATGCCCAGAGCTGGACTGTCAGGGTCAGTGGGCCCTGGGGCCGCTTCTCCCGCCTCTGCCCTCTGTCTAGACAGCGCCCGAGGGCACGCGGAGCCCCCTCAACCGGCAGCCCCCCCTCGCCTGGCCCGCCTCTTACTCACTCCAACTTGGGAACATTCCCTTTGCATGAGCTCACCGTCTCCCCGGGGACGCGGCCTTCGGGGAGGGGGCTTGGCTCTCCCCTCAGTGCGAGGCTGGGGTGGGGCTGCAGGGTCGGGTGGGGGGCAGATGGCTCTCCGTTTCTGCACTGTTAAGTGGGGGGCAGGAGTTGCCACAGCCCCCAATCTAGGGAGCTCACGGGCTCCCAGGCACTGTCTGAGTACCTCCCAGGGACCAGTTCTGGGGACCCAGCACCTTGGTACCACCTTATAAAAGGGGAAACTGAGGCCAGGAGTGGAGATGTGACTTCCCTGGCGTCCCCACAACAAGTGGCAGGTATGGGATTCCAATCACCTGTTGGCCTAAGCCAGACCCAGGGAAGATCGGAGACCCCAGCTAGAGGTCCCGAGTCCAGCTGCCCCGCCCAGCCTCTGGGGCGTCGGGACCCAGATGATCCCAGTTCAGATCCCAGCTTTGCTCCTTACAAGCTGTATGACTCTGTGCCTCAGTTTTCCCCTCTGGAAAACAGGCATAAAAGGACCCACACTATCCAGATGTTGCACGAATTCCAAGAGGGAAGAGGTAGACACTAAGCGCTCAATAAATGTCACCAGTCATTGTGACCAGATTCTTGCTAATAAATTGTGAAGGAGTCACATCTAACCTCCTGGTGACCCTCCTTGAGGCCTTTTGGGGCCCAGGAGAGGGGAGCCCCAAGCCCTCCCTGATTGAACCTGCAGAGGCCAGGGATCCTCTCTCTGCCCCCAGCTGCCACCGCCGCTGTCCCCCTAGACCTCGCCTCCCGGGACCCGCATTCCAGGCAGGCCCACGTGGGTGGCCCGCCCCGCCCGCCCCTTCCGGCAGACCCACTCACCGGGCGCGGGGTCCCCCGAGCCCACGGAGCCCACGAAGCCCACGGCCCATGCCAGGGC